AGCCCTCTCGCCCTCCATTGCTCTCTCCTTCCATCTCTGCCCTTTTCCCTGCCTTTCTCCATGTCTCCCTCCATCCTGTTACCTGTTCTTCATGGTTTTGGTAGGTAAGGGAACAAGTTATGTGCCTGAATTACAAAGAAGATTCATTTGTCATGAATCATTTGTCATGAGGAAGTATGTTTTATTTAGGAAAGGTTATTCTCATAGGAAATGTAATAAAGCATTCAATTAGATTTCTGGCAGACATTGATAATCTTTATTATGGGAGGTTTAAGATGAGACCAGACTGGAGTGTTATGTGACAATACATAGGTCGGGTTTTCTTGGTGTTTGTTTTTTCCCCTGTAAAGGGAAACTTAAATTAAGAGGTTGATGTGACAAGCTCTCTTTCTGTGTATAGTTATACAGTCACAGGATATCTTGATTTAATTTTGTGCATTTGATTCTCAGTAGAGACCAGTAAAATGGAGACAGAAACGAACACTGAAACACTTTCTCATCTGTCTCTTTGAAGGAAAAAAAAAAAAAAGGGGGGGAGGGTGGTGGGAAGGGAGGGGGAGAATAGGTACAGAAAAGAAGAAGACTGAAGAACGAGAGTAAAGTTGGAAAGTAGAAAAGCCTGTGTGTCTGTTCAAAGGCCCAGTTTACTATAGGTAGGAAAAACCCTGTTTGTTTGGCGTATTATCTAGGAACCACTGAAATATGCCTTGCTAAGTGCCCTGAAAGGAGTTGAAATTGTACTGAAGATCAAGGCAGAGAAAGTGTCCTGTAGAAAGGAACATCTGCTAAATGCATAACCCTCTTCTTTGGTAGGTTTATAAATTTGAGAACTGTCTGGAAAAAGCAGGTTTTCAAACTATTTGAGTTGTATCAGTGGCTTCTAGGTTAGTTTCTCGTTAGCTTCTATAAAACTAACTGCGTGTCATTTTAATTTGTTTTGCCTTAGTAAGCTGCATGACAGTTCCAGCCTTTCTGTGGCAGGACTGTTTAAATTCCTGCATATTTGTTATCACTTTAAAAGTAATTGTGGATTTTGTTTAAGACTAGTACTCAAAATTTATTTTTCTTCAGCTCTTTTGAGTAGTTTTTTTTTTGTTGTTTGTTTGTTTGTTGTTTTTTTTTTTACTGTATTCTATTTTTCCTGGAAGGAAATGCAGTGGGTATAAGTGGCAGGTAGTAATCCATTAATTAATTACACTAGTAATTTACATATCCTTAAGATCAGCTGACTAAAACTGATTTGAATCCATGCACTAAAGCTCACTTGTTTTTCTACACTATTTTTATTTTTAGGAATGTTGTCTCTGCAATTTGAGAGGTGGTGCATTAAAGCAAACTACCGACAAGAAGTAAGTAGTATATGTATTGGGATTTTATGTGCTTGTTTTAAACTCTATTCCCAATCCATTCCCATGTGCAAAGCATTTTTAAACGTCATTGCTGGTGTCCCTTTAAGATGAATTGCTGCAGAGTTAAAGTTACACTTAGTGAAATAAGCCACTAGCATTTTGGGAAATAGATGCAAAAATGTACATTTGTTTTACTGTTTGTACACACTTACTTGTTCCAAATTCTATTCCTCTTGCTTTTGTGTAAAGAAAGTAAATGAGAGTTCATTTGTCATTTCTTCTTTGGTCCTGGAAATCTGTCATTACAGAATTCAATACAGTACCTTTGAACTTTTAGAAACAATTTTAATTAATAAATTAAATTGAACAATAGTTAACTAATTTTAGATTTTGAAATGTCTTTTAAAAATGAACTTAAATCATACACTGTCAAAAATGCTATTACTGCATAATACTACTAACAGCATCAATGTTTTTCCTTGTATTTGGATGATAGAAAATTATAACCATTTTAATGAAGGTTTTGGCTTGCACATGAAAATATTCAGCTGCTTTTTAGTTCTGTTTTAAACTTGCCTAGATTTGCTACTTCCTTTTCTTAGCAATATAAAAAAAAGCAAAAAACACAAGCAAAACATGCAAAAAAAGTATAAACAAAAAGACGGAAGTGTTATCTCAGTTGAATTTACATGCCATTTTGTTATTTGCTTCATAGATACTGTATGTTGCATCTTTCAAAATATGTACACCATTTTTTTGTAGATTAAAATGTTTGAGAAATGCTTCTTAAGATTTGTTTCTAAGAAAAAGGTCCACAGAGGTTTGCAGAAAGTGACTTTCTCTGCATAGCCATACCTAAAGTCTTTGTTTTTGCATTATATCCCTCTGTAGGTTTCTGCGACATATTTATGGAATGAGAGGCCTCTAAAAATAATTAAACTCTTGCGTTCCTGTTTCCATAACACCTTACAGTTGCTATACATTGTTGAATGCTTCATCTATCGTTAAACATTAGTTGCCATTCCAAAGTTTTCTGTTTTTATAAAAGTATATTCCAGTTATGTCTTTTTATTCAAAAAAGTGTAATATCCAACATATGCATTCCCTCCTTCTTTCCCTGTCATACTGCTTAGGGATGTAAGATGAGCCTTACTAAGATTTAAAAGGTAATGAATCAAACATGGGGGTGGTAACAATTTGCTGCCATATAGGAGAGCTGGGATTCTTCCTTTTCAGCAGTAATTGTTTTAAGTCCTGTTAGGTTGAAAGATGAAGAAATATAAATATTTGAGTGAATATTTATTGAAGAAGCATTTTATTTGTAACATTTCTGTCCCATAAAGCTTCAACATTAAGACAGTATAGTTTTGCAGATGGGCAAGAAGCAATGAAAAGAAAAAGGGTATTCTTAGAATTTCAAAAGAAAAAATCAAGACTTTTTTCTCTAAGTTAGAACATGAACACAACTGTCAGCAAAATAACATGTTAGATCTGCAGGCTTTATCTGCCTTCATTTGAAGTGAACTTTATAATTTGCTAATTGATATGTCAGCTTTACATAAAGCTCTTATTTCACTTTGGCTGATATGACTTTAACATCACATGACAGCATTTTGTTTAATTCCTATATATTGTATTATACATTAGCAGATATTTTTGTCAGTAATTAATTTTTGCAAAAGCACCACTTTAATGCAGGGAGGAGAAATTATTTATATTCTGGTACATCACCCATCTTTTTTAGCTGTAGCCCACATTTCTGTTAATCTGCTAAAATGCTCATATAATGTTTGTATAGATCTACAGAAAGTGGATTGAGGCAAGCGTTCAGGACTTACAAAAACAGCAAATAGGATAATGAGACAAAATACACAATGAATGACTGAGAATACAACAACTGTGAGCCAAAGAATGGAAATGTTTTTCTTCAAATTTACTAGTAGTCTGTCTCAAAGAAGATTTTAGAAATAGTTTCAGAAGACTACTCTTGGGTGATGAAAATATCATTAACTTCTCATCTACTTCCTATACTATGTACTTTTAATATTAATTTCAAACTTTGGAAAGTTTCAATTAGCCTGTCTTATTTTGAGATTTATTTATTGAACCAGCATTTGGAGGATGTAGCAATGCTTTCTGATTAATATAGGAAATACATAGCATCATCCTGACAGATCTGACATGTTTCCTGAAGTTGCACTGAAGTCTTACAGGTAGCATGGGTTCTGGGCACTTGACAGGTGCTTTCAATGCTAAAGGGGATTCAGTTCATGCTGGCTGAGCTTTCCAGTGACAGCCTGATCAGTTTGCCACTTCTATGCCTTTGTGTCTGTAAACTGAAGGTCTTGGTAGTATACTTTGTTTTGCACTTAGATATATTTATGACTGATTGTCATAATGTGTGCTGCCTAAAAATAGTTATGTAGGTCTGGACAGTGCTAGTTCAGGATGCTGTAGGTGATAAACTGCACATGAATCAAGTGTCTTTACATCTTTACATGTGCACCTGTATAGCACAAACACAAAACCTTTGCTTTTAAACATTAAATTTGTTGCAGTAACACACCAGTCTTACACAAAGTTGTAGTGTTGTAAGGTTTGTTAAAGATGTTTCAAAGAAGATCAGGAAATCCTAATAAGGAAGTAACCAGAGATCATGGCCTTAAAATACAAAACAGAACAGAAAGCCAACACACAGCAGCTAACAAATCATCTTAAACACTTGTATTTCTATGAGTTTTTTTGGTGGTATTCCTGACTTGCCACTTTTCACAGGTGGGCACATGTAGTGTGTGCAGTTGCCATCCCAGAAGTCAGATTTGGTAATGTCACAGAACGTACACCGATAGACACTAGCAGAATACCTTTGCAAAGATTAAAATTGGTGAGTAGTATATTCATATATGCTTCATGTATTATTTTCTTTTAAGGTGTTCCAATATTTGAAATGTGTTAAAAATCTGAATTGTGATGATTATTGCTAGATACTGAACAGTAAACTATGTTTAAGGTAAGAAATAACTAGCTGGGGTTTTCTCCAAATGGGCTTGTTGAAATATAATGACAATTCATTAGCAGACTTTGGTATTTGATTGAAAAAAGTTTGAACCTGCCCTTCCACACAAGAATAACAAATTCAACCAGTGTCAACCATGAAAGTTTCAGTTTTAGAAATATATTAATGATGAAAGTGTTGAAACCCAAACAGAGTAGGAGTATCACACAGTACATGTTTGTGAGGTCTTTTTATTATGTATTTTGTGCCAAGGAATTATTTATGAAGATTAAAGGATGTATGATCAGTTTGTTACATGGTATTTCTATCATCTGTGCATTGAAAAATGTATGCCAAAAAGATCACACATTATACTGGATGAACAATACCCTGCTTCCTGGGAAATTTCAAAAGTTAGGGGAATACATAAATAAAAGTGCATCAGCTACTGAAAATTACATCTAGAAAATTACATCTGTTACATCTAGAATAACATTGTAATTCAAGACAGTTGCTGCACATGAGCAGAAGATATGTATAAATGCAATATAGACCATTTTCCTTGATGTGTTACACAATAATTACTTAATTTGTCAGCCTGTGCATCACTGTCATGTAATCTGATAGACAGTGATTAGCAGCCCTTTCAAAATCTTAGGGAAAAGATACCTTAAAATAAAAGATCTTTTTTTTTTTAATCTGTCCTGCAGTATTTCCGAAGTGGTTTTTGTTTTACCTGACCTTATACTTGTTAATTTTGAACCATTAATCTTTTAATTACATTTTCATCTCATTCGTTACTTTTTATCTTTTTAAGCTGAATTTCTAAATGTGGAGATGCAGCATTGAAGGGTTTAAATTGATAGCCTGTCCTTCAAATGGTAGTCTGTTCTAAATTTTTGCTTAGAATTTTAAAATGTTGTTTTCCGCGTCTTTTTAAACACATAAAACACATTTCTTAGGAGTATCTATAACTTATTATAAAAAAAGTGTTCTTCCTAATCTGAAGTATGGCACAGTAGTATGGTGCCAAAATTTGTGAAGTGACATAATTTACAGTTCATGTGTCATTTGTAGCTGAGAACTCTTTCTGCAATTCTTTCCTTCACTTAAGTTTTAATATTTGCATGGAATGAAAGTTGTGCTGAAGGACCTCAGCTGAATACAGTAGGGGCAGGGTACTTTATGACAGCTGTGAGTAGAGTGTTTCTACAAGTAGTGGACCAGCCTTACTGTGTGGATAAGAAGCACATAAACCTGGTTTGGCTCATTAAACCTTATGTTTCCAAGACTTAGTTTCTGACACATATTTAAAGTGAAATAGCTAGTTGTGTACTAATTTAAGGGAAGTAGGCAGTCTGACCATTTCAAAAGTTTCTGTAATAATTTAATGTCAATAGATGAACATAATACTGGTCCTTGGGTAGAACATAATAGTGGTCCTTGAGTAAAGAAGCAGAGAAAAAAATGTTTTAAAAGCACCCCAAGTCTGCCTGCTTTTAAATTTTGGATTTTGTTGCAAATACATTGCTGTATCTGATGGTTTTATATTGCTCTGTTTCACCATGTATACCCTAGCTAAACTAAGTCTCCTCAATAACATTAGTAGTATTCTGTATTTTTTATTTTTATTTTTTTAAATATTAAATTAGGTGGAATTTAGTGGATGCTTGATATTTTCTCTAAAGCCCTGTGTATTAGAAACTATGTGTAAATAATTTCTCATTTCCTGAAACATGGGGTTCCTAGTTCTCTAAAGAGGTGGCTTTCATTAGCCTTGTGTATATATGCCACATCATCCTCAAATCAAATGTGATCCTTACTTTGGTCTTTTCTTCCTGATGAAGGCACAGAATAACAGTTATGCTCTTATACCCACTGACACTAGGTTCTTAGCCATGGAGGAACCCCAGGAATTATATCCAAATTAACTCTGTTTCTTTCTCTAGGAATTCCCATCCCTTCTTGGCCCCCATTCTTATCTTACATTCATCCCCTTTATCATGGACATTGTACTTTGGAATAGAGAGCTGATACAATTTGTCTTCTTGTTAACTTCTGTAAAAGCATAATGAGTGATTCACACTTTGACTTTAAGTCTGGGAACCTGTGAGTAACTCATTTGGGCCTGTCTTCCCCTTTGAAATTGCAGGGATCACCTGTACTCTTCAGCAACCAACTCCTGATTCACAGCCATGCTGTTTGTTAAGTTAAGGGTATCTTTGTTCATCAGTCGTCATCATTCAAAGCTAGAGTGTCTTCATTGTATAAGCAAAGACAACGTTTGTACGTTGTTGTTATTTAGCTTTCATGAGCAATACAGTTTTTTAAAATACATTTTTGGGCCTATCGTTATAGTGCTCTTTATGTTAAAGCATGGAATAGCTAATGAATGTGGACATTTCCTACTATACCCATGTATCCCTTTTAACATTTGGGATGTAATATGTTGATTTGGATTAAATAAGCAGAAAACAATGGAAAATAAAATATAAAAGCGTAGATTACATTCTAGCATTCAACCAAAACAGAACTTGATCTTAAAATGTGGCAGTAAATAGTTAAAGTTATATTAAACTTCTCTCTTTCTATGGCCATCCTCCCCCATCCTCCCTCCTCTTCTCTTTTCCTCCTTCCCCCCTTCACAGAATCACAGAATCTTAGGGGTCGGAGGGGACCTCAAAAGATCATCTAGTCCAACCCCCTGCCAGAGCAGGGTCACCCAGAGCACATCACACAGGAACATGTCCAGGCGGGTTTTGAATGTCTCCAGTGAAGGAGACTCCACAGCCTCTCTGGGCAGCCTGTTCCAGGGCTCTGTCACTCTCACAGTAAAGAAGTTTTTTTTTCACGTCTCTCTCTCTGAAATAGTATGAAACCCAAATAAGCAGAACATCTACTTTCCTCAGAGATCTGTAGAGGCTGAGATGACATTTTGCTTAATGTAGCATCTACAAAGGAATAGAAAAGGAAATAAATAGTGTTTTAAAAAATTAAGAAACATCTGTGCAGACATGAACATACTGGTAGGCTGTTTTTTATTGCTTAGCAAGTGAGGATACTGGTTGCTGTTAAGTAGCTATAATTCAGTAGATATTCTGTGTTGGAATCAGTGTGTTTCCCCAATCTTTCCATTGTTAAATATTCAGTATATACCAATTTCCTCCAGAGCAAAAATGAGTGTTTGTATTATGCTTATAGTAGCTCATAATTTAAAGTAGTTTTATGCAACTGTTTCATGGTTACAACTTGAGTTTTTGTAGAATGCCAAATTATTTTCGTATTTCCTTATCCTTTTTTCAATGGGTTATGTGCATTCCATTATTGCTGAAAATGTACACGAAACAGTGAAATGTTCATTAAAAATGAGTTCTCTTGAAAAAAAATTCCTTAATGCTAGTGGATGAAAAAAGAATATTTTGTGCTTTGTCTTTTATAGGAGAATGTAAAAGAAAAGAATATTATACATGCTGTGTTGAAATAAGACAGGTTGTGTGATCTCCTACATTTTAGTGGTGTACACTTATAATACTGATACTAATTGTATTTTAATGTGAAAGCAAATGGCATTCCAGGCAACCTCAGTGTAGAGGGCATCCTGCAAAGGTGCTATAACCTATAGTTTCTTCACTTCACCTCTTTGTGATTATGCCTTTTCTCTCTATCTCTCTCTTTTTTCTTTTTTTTCTTTTTTCTTTTAAATGGGAAAATGAGATTGTCTCTTTTGTCAGAGTCAAGTTTCTTCTTTTATTTTATGTTCAGTATGGATGGCTGCAACTATCAGACACTCTGAGTTCAAATAGCCATGTGGAATGACAGGTTGTGACTAGCAAGCTAGGAAACTAGTTTGTTGAACTCATATGTTTATGCACAGTTGATAAAATGAAATGGCTGGAGGGACACACCTTGCCATCTCACAGATTTTGAAACAGTATTTTACGTAAACTGCTGTATGTGTAGCTGCTTTACAAACACTTAGTTCAGATGGCCTCTGTTCCAGTGGTCTCCACGTTTAACAGCAGACATATGAGTAAGTGTGAAAAAATACAGAAATGCCAACTCAAATACTGTTTAATCACAGTGAAAATGCTAGGAGCAGATAGAGGGGAGACAAAATTGGTTAGAAGTGATGGTGTGGAGCGGGATCACACAAAATTTGTCTAAACAGATATGCAGAGTTTCAGCTGGGAACAATTTGGAACAAATTGTGTGTGATTTGGAGGGAAGTTTAGTTTAGTTTCATCACACATGAATGAGTGTGATGTAAGCTTAGGTCCCAATACAGTTTAACAGGAGCTATCAGTTTACCGAAAGCAGATAAAGCGTAGGCTTCTAGCTGAGTTTAGCTGTATTTGTTTTATTTATTTATTTATTTTATTTTTGCCTTGTTCCATTTGTCCCTAAGTCTCCTAGAGAAGCTTGAAACTTCTTTTGAATACTTGTTTTCCTGGACTATTTATAAGCATGAGGCTTTGGGTCATAGAAGATGGACTGTGGGTTTCTGTGTTTGTCAAAGTCATTGATGAAACTCGCTTTTGCTTTGGGAAGGAAAAGCTTTTACCAAGTGCCTACGTAGCCTCTGATTTCAAAAGAGTGTTAATTACTCAGCTCTAATTATAAATATAAGCTATAGCTGCATAAAAAAGTCTCTGTAGATGACAGACTGACCCCTCAAACATAAACTCAGCCTTTAAAAGAAAGAATAAGTACTCCCTTGTCCTTCATTCTGTTTTAACAAACCTTAGGATGTAAAATAGAATTAAATAAAACCACTTACTATTATATGGCAAAGGAATCCTAGGCAACAGGAATATTGAGCCTAGTGTAGTTTACCCTTGTACGACATGTGACATAACAAGCAGTAGACATTGTATATGAGAGTGTTTAAA